TTTGTCATGGAATATTTTGTTTTCTCCATCTATGGTAATTGAGAGCTTTGCTGGATATAGTAGTCTGGGCTGGCATCCTTGTTCCCTTAGCGTTTGTAGGACATCTGACCAGGATCTTCTGGCTTTCATCGTTTCCATTGAGAAGTCAGGTGTAATTCGGATAGGTCTGCCTTTGTATGTTACTTGGCCTTTTTCTTTAGCTGCTCTTGATATTTTCTCTTTACTCTGTAGGTTTGATGTTTTGATTATTATATGGCGAGGTGACTTCTTTTTCTGGTCAAGCCTATTTGGTGTTCTGTAAGATTCTTGTACTTTCATAGGCATATCTTTCTTTAGGTTAGGGAAGTTTTCTTCTATGATTTTGTTGAATATGTTTTTGTACCTTTAAGTTGAATTTCTTCACCTTCTTCTATGCCTATTATTCTCAGGTTTGGCTTCTTCACGGTGTTCCATATTTCCTGGATATTTTATGTTAAGGATTTGTTGGTTTTGAGATTTTCTTTGGTTGACAACTCTATATCCTCTAATGAGTCTTCAACACCTGAGATTCTCTCTTCTATCTCTTGTATTCTATTGGTGATACTTGCATCTGTAGTTCCAGATCATTTACCGAGCTTTTCTATTTCCAGCATCCCTTCATTCTGTGTTTTCTTTATCGTTTCTATTTCAGCTTTCAATCCTTCAACTGTTTGAGCTATTTCCTTAATTTTTTTGGTTGTTTTTTCTTGGTGCTCTTTAGATTCTTTGAGAGATTTGTTTATTTCTTGAATTTTTCCCCCATTTCATGGATTTTTTTGTTTGTTTTTTCTTCTATTTCTTTAAGGGATTTCCTCGTTTCTTCTTTGAGGGTCTCCATCATCTTCATGAAATAATTTTTAAGGTCTGTCTCCTCTTCTTCGTCTATGTAGTGCTTTTCGGGTCTTGCTGGTGTTGGATCCCTGGATTCTGGTGGGGTCATGTTGGTGTTTCTATTGCTGATTGATCTCATATTCTGTCTTCTTCCCATCTCTTCTTCCAGTGGGTGCTGGTGGGGTCTTTCCGTCTCCACTGGTCTCCTTCCTTCCTGCAGCTGAGGCTGGACTCACTGGGATTGGGGTCTTGGAGGGGCTGATGTCTTTCCTGTGTGGGTGGGTCTTCTGGATACCGGGAGTGGCCCGGAAGTTCGCGGGGGATGGGTAATGGGCGGGCGGTCCCCGCTGGAGACCCAATCTCACCTGAAGCTGGACTAGCTGGGGTTGGGGTTTTGGAGGGGCTGATGTCTTTCCTGTGTGGGCGGGTCTTCTTCATCGCTATTTCAGTTACTTGATGAAATCATTTTCTTCTCTGTCTCTAAGATTTGCCCTTTAATAATTGTTTTCTTTTAAGATACTTCAATGTCACAGAAATGTTGTATATCCTCATATACTTACTTGACTTAGATTTAACAACTCTAAAACATCCCGGAGTAATCTATAAATATTAGAGTTTCTTTTCTCTCAGGATTCATTACGTGTCATATAAGAACAAGTCTATCATCATATGTTAGTTTTTACATTAATCTAACATTATCTGCATACAATCTGTCTTTCACTGTCTCCATAATATCTGTTAGTGATTTGATTTTCTAAATTCACAAATCATATTCACTTACCATGTGTCTTTAATCTATAACAGCATTCCTACCCTCCCTCTTCAACATCCAACAATGTTATTTTGAAAGGGTCACATTAGTTGTCTTCTAGAATGTTCAACAATGTGCATTTTTTGACTGCTCTTTCATGTTTAGTTACATGTAGACTTAAATAATTTGGCAAGGACACATATAGGGGATGTATGCTTCCAATTCCTCTCCATTGGGAGGTCCACTTCATCTTTTTATGATTATTGGTGTCATGAAGTTTAATGAAATAACTTGATGCATGCCATATTTCTCCATTGATAATGTCTCCCTGATTTGTATTTAGTCAGACCATCTGTGGTATTCTGTAATTTGAGTTTTCTCTAACACTTCCCCCAGCACTGTGTTACGTGCTAATGATGCTTGTCTAAGCCAACCATTACATTGGTGTTTCTTAGTGGAGCTGTATACTAATTCTGTCATTCGTTATTATTATTCTATAAAGAAGTGACTTACCTGTCCTTCTGCAGGTTTTATAAATCACTATGAACTCAAGAATTCTTTTATTTAATGTCTTATGATTTATTACCATCATCATTATGCTTTATGATAAAACTGAAATAAATTGCCCAGAGTTGCAGCATGTAGTTACCCTAGCTGTCAGGAGGTAGAGGCAAGAGGCTGGTGGGTTTGATTCCAGTTTGCGTTGCATAGTGAGAACTTATCCTTCTTCCTGCCCCACTGAACCTGAATTTGGTCAGTAAAGTGCCTTAACCCTATGTCTTGTACCTTACTGCAATGTGTCCATCACACTTTGAATAGTCCCTTACTTTGACATACAAACATACCCTGTACTTTTCCTGTACCAGATATAGAATCAACTATTTCTCCAATAAACTGGTTTGTTTGGGTAAGGAATGGTATTTAGAACCCAGTGTCTGAAAAGTAGGTTCTTATATGTGGGTCAAATTCAGAGCTATTGTAATGCCAGTTCCTGCTCTCTGTGGGCAGATGGGCTGAGATGTTTTAGAATTTCTGGTGATCGTCATTAGTCACTTCAATCCTAACCTATGTTCACAGATCCCTTCAGAATTCTCTTCACTTTTCCATGTTCTATATTTTTGCAGCCTTTTACCAAACATGAGAATTCTGCTTTCAAAAAGCATTTGTTTGCTCCACCCATAAAATGCACATACCATATGTATGCATGTGTATTTGCGCTATAGTACAGTTTTACAATTTGCTTGTTTTAATAACATTACCAATAAGAAATACTGTATTTGTGTTTGGGGACAGAACTACTTGGTGGTATGCGTATAACATGAAGGTATCTGGTCTTCTTCCGAGCCTACTGATGGAGAGTATTTTGGAGTAGGTCTCTATCTTAAAAATAGCACTTCAGTTGATTCCAAAGAATGCTTCTGTTTTAGACACAATGCTGTTGTAATTAAGAGCATGGAGTTTAGGTTAGGAAGGTCAGTGTCCTTGTTATGTTTCTTAATTTCTTCATTTGTGCCATGGTGATGATATATACTTCATATCATGGTAATACACCACATACTTTATCACATGGTACTTGAAAAACTCTGAGGTGTGTGTTAACAGGTAACAGAACTGATTTGTTTCTTTTAGTATAAAATTATAAACTGGATTGTCAGGTATTCCCTACCTGGAAAAAATAAGAAACAGCATGTTCAATATTTCAGATAGGCATTCATTTTTTTACAGACAAGGGGTTGCCTCTTCAATTATTGTGTTTCAGTTTTTAAAAATTCTTCTCTCATTACATCCAGACCAGTTTTCCCCTTCCTCCCCCCTCCAGTGCCTCGTCACTTCCTCTCTCCCACAGTTCTATACCCCCTCCATCTCCCCTTCAGAAAAGAGCAGACTCCTAAAAGACATCAACCAGACATGACATAACAAGATGCAATAATATGTTATACTAAGGCCAGGTACATGACATCAAATCAAGACTGAACAAGGCAACCCTGTAGGAGGAAAATGGTCCCATAGGTAATGCCTCTTCAATTTTAATAATGATATTTCATGCTATTTTAAAATTCTTCTCTCATATTTCACTCCTCTCCTCCCAGTCCCTTCCCACTCCCTCCCCTTTGCCTCACCCACCAACCCATTCCTCCATTTCTATTCAGAAAGGGGCAGCCCCCCATGGATATAACAAAACATGGCATGTCAAGTTGCAGTAAGACTAAGCAACTCCTCCTCATATTAAGGCTGGACAAGGTAATCCAGTATGAGGAGCAGGGTCCCAAAATGCATCAAGAGTCACAAACAGCCCCTGCTCCTATTGGTAGGAGTCCCTCAAGAAGGCCAAGCTATACAACTGAAACATAGTGCCTAGGTCAGTCCCATGCAGGTTCCCTGGTTGTAGGTTCAGTCTCTGTGAGCTCTTATCAGCCCAGGTTAGTTTATTCTGTGAGTTTTCTTGTGTCCTTGACCTATCTGGTTCCCACTCCTTCCTCCCTTTCTTCTGCAGGATTCCCCTAATGGGGGTCTCTGTATCTGCTCCCATCAGTTCTGGATGAAACCTCCCTGATAACAATTATACTAGGCTCCAGTCTCTGAGTACAGCAGAATTAGGGTGTCATTCTTAAATGTACAGATTTTTGAAAACAAAAGTGAAAAGCTAAATGTACATTATAAAGGTAAGTAGCATGTTATTAAGATGTACAATTTTGTTATTTTTAATGTTAAGATTAAATATACCTTTTCTTCCTCCACCTATTGGTAATTAATTATTTGGGCAGAAATCTTATGACAAATTTATTTACTAATGCTACCTAAATTCTAGAAAATTTAAATAAAATATCCGCCTTATACTGTACATGGATTGTTAGACTAGAAAGTTCTAGAAGGAAAGAGGTCTGTATTCTATTCATTTTTGAAGTTTCTCTTCCCAAATAGTCTTGAGCCAGGATCAGTTGATCTGCTTTTTACGGGGGAATGCAATTTGCATTCTATTTTTTTCTCCCTGTAAATGCCTTTTTACTGAATTCTTCACTCACTTTTCATATTACTCGCCTAGGGGAATGTGTATTGAGCAAGAGAATAGTAGTGGTTCTCAGAAGAAACTAGACCTTGTCAGTGTTCTCTGACGTCTAATAGGACTACTGCGGGAAAAGTGTATTAATGCGAGAATGTTGCTAGGAGACGGGAGAGCCAAAAGCCCAGGATGTTGTGGGGGTTCCACTGGAAATTAAGGTAATTTAAGTATGTTCTTTATCCGAAGTTGAACCATTAAACCCCATCCTTTGGTGTGTATATGAATTTTAGCATGCAGTGTTTAGTGTGGTCTGATGTTTTATGAGGATTTGAGAGGAGAATCTTAAGGTGTTTCATTTCTTACCATTTGGCTAATCCCTTCTTCACAGCAGTTTATTTTCAAGAGGCCCTGCTGCTTTCCCCTCCCACTCCTTCAGTGCGACAGCCTCAGAGCTGATGGAAAGACAGAGAGCACGCAAAGCAACTGGTAAGTAGCCGAGAAAGCTCTCATAAAATAGTTGCTAAGGCTCTGCTTTCTACAGCAAGTGACGCATTTGATAGAACAAAATAGCATAGAACTGTGCAGGAATTTGTCTAGTCCATAGCACCAAGAAAATGGGTTATATTCTAAAGATTGCACGGTCACTTTCCTAGTTTAAGGCTCTCTTTTTAAATGATGAATGACTCGATAGAAGGAAACACAGAACGCACATAAATTGCAAATTTCATAAGGTGCCCCTCAAATAAGATTTATTGAAGATATTAAAATGATACCTTAGCTTTATGATGTTTGAATTAGACATAATGAAATGATACTTTTCATTCATTTTTCAAGCTGTTCTTGGATTTGGTTTGTTTTCTTGAGGAAGTATTTTGCAGTGGAGGATAGGATTCTGTACTCTACTTGTTTTTAATTAAGAAGATGGTGCGGGGACATGTCTGCGCAGGAAAGGAAATGAAGAGGGCAGACTGTAACAATATTAAGACTGTTTGCTTTGTAGAAGAGATGAATGTGTATTGAATGGGGAAGATGAAAATTTGGTTGTAGGGTGAAAATCATGAATAAGAAATAACAAATATTGTGACTGTGTCTTCATTTGTAAAATCCATTTGCTTTTTGCGTGTCATGCTGTACAGTAAAGATAGAATGTTCTCGTTGCTTTTTTTTTAAAGGAATGTGAGAATGAGATTCCTATGGATACAGCATTTCTGTTTGCTTCTCAATATCCCTGAAATTCTGTGTGCTCTTTTAGACTTGTTACTGCAGAAAAATAGAAAAAGAGGTGAAGTTATGTATTTCCAAATTTTGTTGGGATTCAGATTGGTTTTGACCCGAAAGGAAGAAAAAAGGGGGAAGGCAGATTGCCTTTGGAGATAGATGACAAAATCAAAATCAGAGAGGAGTATGAGAATGATAAAGCTTATTCGAAACTCTTCAAAGATAAGCCATTCCACAAATTGAACATGTCTGCTGGGGGCATACTTGCAGGGAAAGGGAGCTGCATGACGAAGATAGAGGGAGGGGGCATCAGCAGAGCACTGCGGCAAAGACTGACTGACGCATCCAGGGACATGTGACCATTCTCTGATGTAGTGAAGAAAAATTTCCAGGACTCCATCTTGTATAAGAAATTCTATACATCCTAACATGCAAATAATGCTGGGATCACGCTGTGATGGATAATGAATTAATCTAGTATAATCGTCCATCGCTATTTATTTAATCTTTGCTTTTTATTGTCTTTGTTCCTAGACTGACTTCTCTGCACTCTCAGAGCTTTCCTATGTTTATTAAAATATTTCATTATAGTTTTGGTTCTCCTTTTATTACAAAAATAGTGTTATGCAGAATTTGGAAAAATTTAAAGGTGACTGTAAGTATTATGTACAATGCCATAACCGTAGCATATTGCTGTCAGTCATTTTTCTTTGCATATATGCAAATATATGCATAAAATATATATTTAATACAAAATAAAGATCAGATATGAAGTCTTTATTCTGCTTTATTCATTAAATATATTTTAGAAACAATTTCTCATTTTAAAATATCTCACAGGAATGCGTTTAGGGAATGCATAATTTTTATCACATGTGAGTATTAGAAAACTCCAAATAATGTATGTATAATTATGATTTTTGCTATATTTTAAGAAATATCTTTCCATATAAATCTTTGTGTGCCCTTCTGTTCTTTTTCCCCTAGGGAAAAAATTCAGACATGGAGTTCGTGGACCAAATGGTATGAATCAGTCTCCGGTTTCTTCCCTGTCAAGACATCTTGCTTAATTTGTGATAAAAAACATTTTAAAGTATTTATCAACCTATTTAGTTTTGTCACGTATGATGGTGATTTTGGGTATACTTTACTGCTTTATATTTTAAAATACCTACATCTATCAGTTTATTTTTGTGTTTTCTTTCTTTTTAAGGTATTCCTCCATATAAACATTCATCTGTATTTTCTCTAGACATTTAATTAATTCATTTTTTATAATTAACTCTGCAATCTGTAAAGCATTTATTTTAAATGTCTGATATAAGATCTAATTGTGTGTGTTTTTCCAAATAGGTCACCAATTGCTTCAGCATTACGTATTGAGTAATACAGCCTTCTTCCACCGATGTGAAGTGTCAACAGCTGATCTCCCATTAGATAGGGTGTAGCTTTCCACAGGTCAGCCATTTTCTCTCTACTATATAAGATGGTTACATTTCATAAAAGTACTTTTGCCGTCTTGTCATATTCAGCAGCCTGCTAAAGCATTTTGTTTATACTTTTGCTTTTCAAGAATCCTAACTGTATATAGTTTAGAACAGTTATTTTCAAATAGTTATTTCCAAAATGTGTGTGTTTGTATATATATATATGTTAAATAGTAGACATCTTATTTTTTACAAATTAGAAGTTGGGGAATTCAATGATACAGAATACAGTTCCAGATGTTATTTTTGGATGCTCCTGACATTCCAATTTTGAGTTTAAGAAGTACTTGAGGGGTTAATGCTTGTCCTAAGGTTTTTCTGTTCCTCAGGTATTTCGAGATTAAAAGCTGTGTGGATTCAGTTCCTGGACTTTTCTAGAGGTAAATGTAAGAAATGTATGAGATGAAGAAATGTTCTCAATTATCTTGCTGGCAGTAATGCGACCTCAGAGTTTACAGGATGGAGGTGAGTCTCGATACTTGCTACCACTGTCATTATCTTGTCAAGATGGGAAAGTATTGATAAGATTCATTTCTTTTGACTGCAAGTGGAAGGATCAAGACATGAAGCATGACGGCTTTCAGTAGGAGGTAAGTTAAATAGTAAGAGAAGTATTCGCCAGTTAAAAATCCCCCGCTGTTCTCTGTTGCACGACTTACTCTCCTTGCACGCAGCGGCCTTGAAGCACTGGCCTTTCCTCATCCTGGAAGGAAAAGGAGGGTAAGTAGTGGGCTGCTTTCTTTGCCTCTTTCGGCTCATAGACACAGCTCCAGTCATTTCCTGACTTGAGACATTAGACTGTGGTTTGTTTATGACTGAGGTTGGTTTCCTTGGCAACAGGCCCTCACTAGAGCATGCGCATTGCCTCATCTGCAGTGGCAGAATGCAGCTGTGGGGACTTGGGAGGGATGTTGGAGCCCTGCAGAGGCTGAGAGACTTATTCCACAGACATGACGTCAGCTTTTCTCTCCCTAAATTGCGACTGTTACTGTACACAGAGCATTGTATTTTTAAGAAATCCAAGTTGAGACTTGGAGATTGTCTCAACTTTGGCCAACAAGTAGAACGACAGTCAATAGTTTCACCAGCGACCATGATATTTTTACATTGATTAAGGTTTCAAATAGCCTTTTGTGGCCACAGGAAACGGCTGGCCTTGTTTCAAACCTTAATCTCTTTTCTTGATGGTTGCATGATCATAGTATAATTCCTTAGTCTTCCTGTGCCTCAGCTTCCTCAGCTGTAAAATGGGAATAATAAAAGCACATTTAGGAAAATTGGTACGTATTAACTATTAAAAAGTAGTCTTTATTGTTATTGGTAGATGTTAAAGGGCAATTGCCTGGAATTGTGCCTGCACTATGCAACTGCCTTGTCCTCATGCCCATACTGGCCAAATGAGAGGCACATGTTTCCCCCACAGAGTGTGGAAACTTCTTACATAGTACACAGATGACCTAGAGCAGAGTGGTACACTGCTCCTGAGGCTCATTAATATACACCACAGCAAAAAGCTCTGCCCCTTACTACATACCTTCCATACCACTGGACACGTTTAGATAAAAACAGATTCTCTTCAACACAGAGGCCAAACTAAAGGACATTGATCAGCCCTGCATGATGATACTTGCCTCACCATGGAGACAATGCCTGTACCACAGAAAATCAAGACTGTGGCTCACCTTCACAACACACAGACCCTGTCAAGAACGCACAAAGTGTGCAGTCTTCATTTACACCACACACTCTTCCCAGAGCACACAGATTCTCCTCAGAGCAATGAAGTTCTCCTCAAGACCAGCCTCTCCCCACAGGACAGTCGTCTGGTGTGTGCTCCACCAGTTGCACTCCTGACTGATGAAGTTCATGTGAAACAGACCTCCCTCACCTCACACCAACACCTGCAAGACCATGCAGCCTCGCCCACAACATACTGACTCTTTTACTTCATAGAAATCTTCACCAGAGCACAGTATAACTCCAGAGCGTACATAGTTTTTCCTTGAACATAGGCATACAGCACAGCTCAAATCCCTTGCCATGACACAAATGCCCATCCAAAACACAAAGTCTCCCACTGACAAGTTGACAAATATCATATATCAAAGACAATTCCAACAGGACACAGGCTTATCTCGCACTACACACACTCCTCATGAAACAAAAACTTATGGTATAGAGACATTCCCAATAGCTCTGAGGCATGCTCAACCTTCACCATATAGCAATACAGAAGTATAACCAAAGCAAATATAGATCATATCTTGCTAAACAGGATTTTAATTTAGTAAGTTATATTATAATGTCCAAGCTCATCTCATGATAAACATATAATGCGAAGCTGCAGTGCAAACACCTGCCTCAGAGGCACTCATTCACTACACGGGATGAAAATTTCCTTTCAGATTAGCAGAATTACTTTCTAAGGTACTCGAGCCTCCTCCTTACCCCCATCACAGTGGTGGTCCAGAGTATCCATGCTCATCACACAACACAGGTGTAAACTATAACTATAGGTGTAAACTATGTGGACACGCATCTCAGAAGACCGCACTACATTGCCACGATGCTAAGAATTCTGTAACAGCAATGTATTTTCTATACATTTCTTCTCACCAAAACAACACTTCTTACAGTGGTTCTACAGTCTAGACACATGCCCCCAAACACACATGAGGCCAGTGTTTAAGTGACTAAGATATACCACAAAGCTCACAGACTGTTTCACTGTTGTCTACAAACCATGACATGCCCTGCAAACGAGAATGCACAGAATCTATTAGTATACATACTAGTCTCATAACTCACAAATAATTTCAAATAGTGACACTCTAAGTGTATACAAAAGCCATTCAGGTCACAGATATACCCTATAATATACTCAATCATAATAACTAAAAGTTATATACATAAGCAGATACATATACATATAAATATATATCATGTTATATATGTACAATCATACATAAGATACATATGTAATACATGTATTAATTCTACTTACACTTCACAAAGATTTCCATGGTAGATGACAGACATGCTTCACCATATCATTAAGCTACACTTCTGGCCTACAGCAGAGGTACAGCTTGGTATCCCTTAAGAGCAAGGCCTCTGGACCAGGATTTCCTGGGCTTACCTCTAGATCCCATCCTTTCCTATTGTATCACAACAGGTAAGTATATTTTTTCATTCCTTACACATCTGTAAAACAAAGGTGACTACTTTCTAAAACAATGGTAACTACTTTGCAGGATTATCTTGAATAAAAAAGTTAAGTTTCATATAGTAAATTGTCTGTTAACTATAACTTTAGATTTGTCCATTTACATTACCATCACCTACTTCCTTCTACCCTGCAATTTTTACTGAAGCAAAGGTGCTTATTTTAAGTGTCTAGAATCATCTAACAATATGGATTTTCCCATGTACAGACATTAGCCCTGGAACATACAGAAGTACCACACTACATGCAGACAACACTCCATAATACCTTATACCCTACAGATCACAGACAGCACATTAAACTAGATGCCACTCACAACAATGACATTGACAACTAAAATAAGAAATGTGGTTCATAATGCATATGATTACTTCATCTGTACACATTCACCTCACAATACCTTGGATGAACAATACCCACTTTTACCCCATATAGCTAAGATCCATGATATGCAATACATACCAGAACTTATAATTATGTACTGTCTGACAATCATCCCGTAACACCCAGAAATCTGTTCCAAAGCATGTGGGTTTCCCTGCTACTCACGCATGTGTTCCTAGATTCACAATTCTAAGTTCAGAACAGCACATTTTTATGCAGAGTCCATCTCTATAACACATTTGCTCTTGTGTTTGATACAGAAACAACACTGCTTCATATCTCATTACTTACACATAAATCTGATTCATCTTAAAACCTCCCCACACGTAGGATCACATACACCACACCGCAAAGATTATCGTTTTAAAAGCTGAAATCGTATGCATATGGGTACTCTCCCTGTGTGGGTGTCTGAACAATATATGTGCCTGGAATCCCAGAGGGCAGACCAGGGTGTAAGGTCCCTGTGAACCTGAGCTACAGACATTTGTGAGCTTTCCTTCTGGGGCTGGGAAATTAACCTCTGTCCTCTACAAGAGTGGCAAGTGTTCTTAACTACCCCTATGATAGCTTTAAGGCCTGCTTAAGTCCCGTAATGGAGAGCTGTGCCCCTAAGCACAGATGTTTTTAAATATATCTGTATCAGAAGACAGTATTCACACAAGGTCATTGTATAATCTTCAGGCTTTCCATTAAGCATCTAGACTCATAAAAAGCAAAGCCATGCTTGCAGAACACAAACCCAACCCACTTTTCCCAATGAGGCCCAAAGCAAAGACAAGCCTGAACTAGCATAATCTCAAAACAGAGAGCATGAAATTGGTGCCCCTCAGTTAAACCAACTCTCTGGGACAAAGCTTGAGCTCAGAGCTCCAACTGCCTAGGCTGGAATTGGTTAAACATTAATATTAATTTTATGACATAAGTAAGATTTTTGACTCTCATGTGCGTTTTATCACCTACAAATTCAGAATGAGTTCTATGCTATACAATCCTATGCTATATGCTGTTAGGATGAACAAATTAGCTAATACTTACATAGTCTTTACAGCAGCACCAATAAAGCATTGCTGTTATTCATGTCTGAGGATACTGCAGTTGTTATTATAAAGCACTAAACTAGACAGTAATGTGATTCAACCTAAAGCAATGAAACCAAAGTCCTGCACATACACTGTCCTCCAGGAAGCACACAATCGAGTCACAACCCGTATTTGACCACTACATCTATATTGTCCATACTTATCCCAGGTCTGGATGCACCTAACCCAGTGTCTACACAGCATCTGTATTCACCACGTGACACTTCGATCCACAGTATGGTACACATAATACAGTGCTCAAATACAGAAATTCACCCATATAAAGACTAATTTTCACCAAATGCTCTTTCCTATCCTCCACTGGGTTATATACTTACAACCCAGTATACCATATTTAGCTATGCAACCGAAATAACTCAGCTTAAAATCCTTGAAAAAGTCCACAAAACATAGATTTCTCCAAAATGCACACGTCATCACGAACATAAACCTTGCTACAATGAAGTCTTAGCTTCATAAGTCAGAACATTAGGGCCTATGCTACAGCACACAGATTTTACCAAGTATCCAAATACACTGTTCTAGCAAAATACTGGCTTGCTATGCAGTAGAATGCACCATGAATGCCAGCATATTGTTCAGCATACATTAAATAACTCACAATGCATGGATATACAGCCCATACACAGACCTACTTCATCTAATGCAAGCATTCCTTTTATCGTGTAAATTGACAAGTACCACCCAACATGGAGTAAGTGCTTTGTAATCAATAGTATCTCACTCACATGACAGATTGGCAGTTACTTCTTTTTTACTGGAATTTTTGTCAAAGAAGCACACTCTACAAAAGACACAGAGTACAAATATGCTCTGCATTACATAGATGTAACACAGAAGATGACAATACAGTGCACAAATACAGGGGAAAATGTGC